CGCCTCTGGTTCTCGGAGAATCCGCCGCCGCGCTGGCAGCGCGGCCCCACTGTACGCAACCGGGCGTAGGTCCTCTGCGCGGAGCCAATTGGCCCACCCGCGAAGCAGGCCCCAAGAATTTTACAGCACGTCCAGCAACGTGCCGCTGTCACTGAGTGGAGTGTCCGCCGCATGCTGGACATGGTGGAACAAGCCTGGCGAAGGGCCCAACCCTGGCGAAGGGTCCTCTCCTCAGATCCTCCGCTCCGCGGGATGGATGGAGGTTTGGCCCAAACAGGCCACGATCCGCGCGAGGGGGTGTGCCGAAATCACAAGGGGGACGCATGTGAACGCATTCGCTGGAGGGCGGCAGTAGGTGGAGCTTTCAATGGGTGACGATCCGCGCGAGGTGGTGTGCCGAAATCCAAGGGGGGACGCATGTGAACGCATTCGCAAGAGGACGGTCGTAGGTGGAGCTTCTTATAGGCCACGATCCGCGCGAGGGTGTGTACCGAAAATAGGCGCGGGGAACGCCATGCGGACGCACTCGCTTGGGTCATGCTCCTCTTCAGAGGTGTACCGAAATGTCAGCGGCGACGCCCACTGGAGCCATTGGCGGAGCTCCCTATGGGGCACGATGCGCGTGAGGGGGGTGCCGAAATGGACGCGGGGAGGACATGCGAACGCACCTACTGGGGTCATGGGTGGAGCTCTCAGGTGGGGGGCACGATCCGTGTGAGGGGTGTGCCGACATGGTTGCGGCACCAGCGGTATGGAGGGGAGGGGTATGATGATGACGATGATGATGATGATGATGATGATGATGATGATGATGATGATGATGATGATGACGATGATGATGATGATGATGTTGATGATGATGATGATGGTTGTGGTGGTAATGGTGGTGATGTTGATGCTGATTGTGATCATGGTGATGATGACGATGATGATGCTGATGATGATGATGATGATGTTGATGACGATTACGATGGCGATTGCGATGATGATGACGACGATGCTGATGATGATGACGATGATGATGCGGCTGATGATGATGACGATGTTGATGATGATGATGATGATGATGATGTTGATGATGATGATGATGATGATGATGATGATGATGACGATGAGGATGATGAGGAGGAGGCGGAGGACCCAAACAAAGATGCATCAACGATGCTGCAATACACCCTCCCGGCCCGGGCCCCCCTCCTCCTAAGTCCCTACAAGTGCTTCGGAACACTGCGGGAAGTACCCCTCTTGAGAGACGAACGCCCCGTGAATCTTCCCTTCGGGAAGTCAAGGCGAGACCCCGTTTTAGAAAGGAACCACCTTCCATCCTTGCAGCTGTGAGAAATGCAACGGCGTAGGGTCAGAACATGCAAGGACGTGCCCAACAATGGGTCCGATTTAAAACAAGTCTGCTTTCTATCCGTGTAAGCCTTGTGCACTACCAGAGCTGGTGCCATAAAATATGGGATGAACCAAGCGGGCGTCTTACTTGAAGTTATGGTACGCGGGAGTCCTCACATGGGCATCTCATGTTTGGCACTTCCCTCTGCGAAAGTCTGGGCATGAGCGAGTCGAAACGTGAGCAAGGCTTCGCGCGCAGATCCGAGTGTGAGCGATCCTTCCTGTTGCTCTCTGTCACCAATTTCTGCGCTTTGCCCCTGCCAGTTCCTGCTCTATGCCAGCTCTGTGCCGGCTCCTTGCTACTCTCTGCTCTTCTCTGCTGCTCTCTCCTGCTCTCTGCTGGTCCGCTCTGCTGCTCTGTGCTGCTCTGTCTTATTTTTGTCTGCTCCCCACCAATCTCTGCCCTATGCCAACGCTGTGCCGGCTCCCTGTTGTTCCGGTCCGCTCTGCTGCTCTCTGCTGGTTTCTTTCTCTGCTGCTCTCTCCTTGCCCGCTCTGCTACTCTCATGCTGCTCTGTGCTGTTTGTGCTGCTCCCTGCTAGTCCCTGCTCTGGCTGCTCTAGGGCCGCAGAAGGACCGCTTCGCTCGAGGCACCCCCCACTCTGGACGCGAACGGGTCCGTGCACGACCCCTGGTCGACGCCCCCTTTTGTGGCCCAAGTGCAATGCCTGCTACATCGCGGAGATCATCAGGCTCTGCAGAGAGACGCATAATGCTCTGCCTGCGACATTGCGGTGATCATGGGGCTTCTGGGTAAGAGTGAGTCTGGGTATGAGTGATCAGAATACGAGAGACTCCATGCGGGTGGGTCTGAGTGTGTGTGGGACTGTGTACGAGTCGGATCTTAGTTCGAGTGGAGCGAATATGATCGGGTCGGGTAAATGAATTTGAGTATGAGTAAACCTAAGCATGGCCAAGTCTGAGTATGAGTGGCTGAGTGTTGGTAAATCTAGATATGCCTAAGCTGACACTGAGTGGACCTGAGTATGACTGAGTTGAGTAAGGTATGGGTATGCGAAGGAAACAAGTCAGTCAGGAGGCGGAAACGGGAACGTCACACCAATAACCATAACAAGATTGCTACGACACGGGGAAGCGTAACCGCCCTCCATCCGTGTAATTAGCTGTTGCTCGGTTGTGAACTTCGCGTCGTAAGTAGTGGAAATCTCACGGGAGACCCATGCTTTCAACAAATCGCCCTCACTCCAATTCTCTGCTGAAAACTTTCAAGGCGAACGTGCACGGCGCTAAAACGAGAACTCCATGTTGCAAACGACCCTACCCATCCGTGTATCTGCTGCGAGCGTGGAGGAACATCTGCGCGTCGCCAACGCGAGAGACTCACTCTCAAAACGACTCCCACTCCATCCGTGTAACCCGCGGAGTTTCGTAAGACGAGTGTGCGCGGCGCCAAAGCGAGAACCCCGTTTTGAAAACGATCTGTCCTGCATCCGTGTAACTGTTGGGGATATTAGGCTTCGAAGTCGGAAGCTGTGATAACATTTCGACGTCGGAAGCTGTGACAACATCCAATGCAGCATGCCCGACCCGCCCTGACGACACGCCTGGCGCTGCGACAGGGATAATTTATTCAGATCTCCATAAGGAAAATGTGGAGGACGAGGGGGGAAGACGAGGAGGAGGAGGCGGAGGAGGAGGAGGAGGAGGAGGAGGAGGAGGAGAATGAGGAGGAGGAGGAGGAGGAGGAGGAGGAGGAGGAGGAGACGAGCGTGCCAACAGAGTCGAGCGCCGCCGCGCGAACCCGCTGGAAGCGGAGAGCGCACGCGGACCTCCGAAGCCTCCCAGGCAAGGGAGCGACCTGGAGGACAGGGCTCCCGCCGATGGAGATACCCCCCCTGTCGCGGTCGCAATGAATTAACGGGCGAATAACAATATAACATAAACTTTTTCGCTGTGGGGGCGCCTGTCCCAGGGCGGCTGGAAAGTTTATACCCCTACAGCGAAACAAATTATTTTATACCGTTCTTCGCCCGTTAAATGAAGCTTCCTGTCCGTGCAGTTCTGGAACAGTGCCGCGCGGTGCGACGGCACTGCACCTCGAACGTGATTTGGCACGGGTGCTTCTCTGGGGAGACGTGCAGATGCATTGGCACGCTGGGATCCGCCGGGGCCGGCGCGCGGTGCTCGACCCACGCGTCGCCCCGCCGATGGCCAGACAGGGCCTTGGCAACGCGCCCTGCTGCCGGCGCAACGGCACCACCGAAGAGCACTACGAAATTCTCGTCGACGCCTTGGCCAGAGACCTGGAAGGCGTTGGCGTCGATGCCGAGAGAAACGAGCCAGTCAGAAATGGCGGTGCGCACATCCGCCAAGCGCACCTGCTGCTGGGCGTTGATCTTGAGGATGGACAACTCGACCTGCCGCTCGAACGCCGACGCCTCGGCGAGCGGCGGTGGAGGCTGGTTGCCGGCGACCTCCAGGGCCTGCTGCAAGAACTTCACCTGGCTTGGAACTCCTTGATGTCCTTGTCATGGCTGTTTTCAGAGCGCTGGACCCTCTCCTTGCACTCGCCGATCTGCTGTGGCTGCTGCCGCTGCAAGGCGTCCAACTGTGGGTGCAACGTCTGCATAACCGCCTGGTCGATCCGACCTTGGAGGCAGTCGAAGCCAAATCCTTGCAGGCAGGGAGCCCAGCAACGTGCCGGTTGAATGCGTCGGGGATCGGGGTGGTGACTGCATCGGACACGGAAGACCGCAGGTCGACCTTCACTTGACCACGAAGTGCTTCGAGCTGGGTCTTGACAGTCTCGGGGCAAGCCAACCGCACCAACTCAACATGAAACGGATGAGCGCTCGCCAGCACGCCCACGCGAGCCGCGGGACCAGTCCGAGTCAAGCGGCGAAGTAGCGTGGGGTGCCCAGCGGGCGCCGCGCTTGGCCGCCTTCCCTGGATTGTGGCCGGCATGCTGGCGTGCCAGACAAGTGCCCGCGAATAGGGGCGCTCACGGGGTGAAGGAGGAAGCTCGAAGTGTCCGCCCGTGCTCGCGCACGAGACGGCCCTCTGAAGAAGGCTGCCCGCTCAGGACACCGGGGGCGCGCTGGTGCCCCTTCGACTTGAGCCAAAATGGCAAAGGAAGAGGAGGAGGAGGAGGAGGAGGAGGAGGAGGAGGAGGAAGCGGAGGAGGAGGACGAGGAAGAGGAAGACGAGGTGGAGGAGCAAGAGAAGGAGGAGGAGCAAGAGGAGGAGGAGGAGGAGGAGGAGGAAGATGAGGAGGAGGATGAGGATAAGGAGAAATAAGAAACAAGGACGCGGAGGAGGAGGAGAAGGAGGAGGAGAATGAGGAGGAAGATGATGGCGACGAGGGGAGGAGACGCGTGGCGCTGCGGATTCAAGACGAGGACCTGACAACAGAAGAGGGTTGGGGCGTTCCTGCGGCTCGACGCGTCGCATCGCCCGAGGCCTCGGAAGCGCTTCCAACGTGCCCCCAGAAGACCCCCCGATGGTCCAAATCCACCAAACCATAAGATCACTCGAGGGTACACTCTGCGACATGCTTAAGAAATCATGGGTTAAGAAACTCAGAGTCTCAGAATTTGAATAAAAAACCCAGAGTTCCGATTGAGATCTTAGGATTTACATTG